ATCCATCCCAGTGTCATGGTAACCAATCCGAAGAAGGCCAAATGTTTTGACCTCTTCAAGGTAACTTCCGGAACAAGAAGGTTGGCTGCAGTTCCGTAAAATTAGAAAGCGAAGATTTATTTTAGCTTTTTTTGTAATATGTCGCCTCCCTAAATATTGCCTAATGAAATGGAAGGCGCAGTGGTTTAACAAATACAAATTTTGCATGCTCTGTTTAAGCGAATGTGTGTGGAGGGCATTATGGAATGCAAGCCAACTCTGGAGTAAATGAACTCACATTCAACAAAACGCGGATTGTGGCATCACTGGCCATCACTGAGAGGATAACACGTCCTACCAACTTCTGTCGAGGCATGCGGCTCCTCACCGCTGCCCAAACTGGTGAGGCAAGTGCAGTATTCAACTTACCCAATAAATTTTAAGGATTGCAAACGGTGCCTCTCAAGTCTTCCTTTAACAATCAAGAGAGAAGGAGTGTAGAAATGAGGAAAAGCAGGACTTTAAGATGCAAGGGAAAGACATGCAATGGAAAGAACGGCTGGATAAACGACTACGACCAGGCAAAGAGGAAGGTTAGTAGGCAGAAGCGTATGTAGGCAGGCAGGCAGGCAGGAAGGGCGGAAGAAAGATAGAAGTGGAGGGAACAAGCAAAGAATGAAGGGAGATAGGTGGGCTACACTTCTACTTTTGGCATCCTTCACACCACTCGCACACAATGATGCATTCGGAGTCACGTGCCTCATGTTGACTGCATTTCGTCATGCTCAATCCTTATCGTTGGTTGACAGCTAGCCAACCTATCTTGTCAAGTTATCCGTCATGTTATCCCTCTTCTTTGAGCAGAACTGCTTAATAAGTAGCTCAGCATAGCGGAGCAGAGTCAGGGTGGGCACTGTTACCAATTGCCATACTTTTGAGATTCCTTCCAATCCTATTATAGACCACCTACTGAGGGTTCAAGACTGTGGAGTTCTAACTCACTACTTGATGACGCCCACGTCCTCACTTTGCTTTGACCACCTGTACCATCGATGGCGCTGCGCACCTCAATGCTTTTACCAAAATCATCAGGTCATCGAAACACTTTCTTTTGGCACAGCGTTTACATTTCTATCAACAACTACTGCCGGCAGTTTTGATTGCACTATGCTTGGAGCACTGTCTGATGTGTTTAAACAACTTTTTGATACTTACTTTCATTTGGTAGTTAAAAGTTACTTCAATACGCTAATAATACCCACTCGTCAATATGTCCGTCAGCTTCAAGCAGACCTACTTAATCAAATAAGTAGTATAGCAGGTGTGTAAGGTGGAGTAGGGTTAAGCAGCCCTACAATTTTGCCCACTTTCCCATGATTTTAGGCGGCAGGTTTAAGAAATCAGCAAAATCTTGTAGCACATCACACACTACAGCAACAAGACTGCGGAGCGCTGACTCACTACTTGATGACGCCCACGGTCTACCTTTCCGTTTACACTTTTCTAATCTCTGCTGGCAATTTGTAACTAGTTGTGTTTACGGAAAACCAGTAAATCGTTCAAGCACATTAGACAGTGGTTTAGGAATAGCGTAATCTAACCTGCTTTTACTAATCTTCGCAAGAAGGGTAGATGCTACGTTGACGAAACAGTTTAAATTAAATGGAGAATTTTGGTAAACGCCCTTAGGTGCACAGCGCTGACGGTAAAAAACGAGAGCAAATAGAAAGATGGGACGTGGGCGTCACGGGGTAGTGAGTCAGGACTTTGGAGCCTTCTAGCCTTGGAAAGTGATGCGTTACACGTTTAAATGGCCTCTCAAAACTGTGGCAACGGACGCTAATTCTACCCAGTGCTACTTATTTACTTAAGTAGAACCATTTAAGGGAAATGGATATAATAAAAAATATGTGGGAAAATTGACTAGCTGTGGAGCTCGACAAGGATAAGGCATTGCAAAATCCATTTTACAAAACCCAATTTATGTAAATATAGTGTCAGTGAGTTTGGGACCAAATGTGTGGTCTACATTCCATTCTGATTGCAATCCATTTCTCTTTCCTTCTTCTTTATTTATACGCACTTTTTCTTTACCCTGACTCCTTCCCCCCATTCTTCCTCCCTAAGTTTCCTCTCTTTTGAGTAAAAAAAAAGCTAAAGAAATAAAAAATTTGCGATTCATAAAATATATTGAGTAGGATAAACATCCTACTTGCCTCACATGTTTTAGCAGTGATGAGAGGCCGTGCCGCATGAGAGAAAATGGTTAGACGTGTTACTTTCTCAGTAGTGATTTGCCAAATAGGTATAATCAGAGAAATTGACTAGCCTTAAACCACCAAATGAAAGTGGCCATAAAAAAGTTGTTTAAGCACATCACACAGAGCTATAAGAATGGTGCAATCAAAGCTGCCTGCACTCGTCGTTGATAGGAATCGAAACATTGTGCTAAAGAAAGTGATGACTAGTGATTCTATAATGCGTCCTTTGTTGCATACATGTTTCTTTGCTTCAGAGTTGGGTAACATTTCACGATGAATGGCACACATTTTGCTTAAACAAAGTACCCCAAAATTGCATTTTTAAACCACTGTGCCTTCTAATTCATTAAGTAATATTTAGAGAGGCGGCATTTTACAAAAAAAGCTAAAATAAACCTTCGCTTTCTAATTTTACGGAACTGCAGCCAACCTTCTTGTTCTGGAAGTTACCTTGAAGAGGTCAAAACATTTGGCCTTCTTCAGATTGGTTACCATGACACTGGGAGACACCTGTTGTAGAGAACTTACCTAA